GCGGGTGCGGGGGCTCCGGCACCCGCCCCGGGGCGGGTACCTGGGCTCCGCTGTCCAGCCCCGAGCTGGGTATCGCGGCCCCGTGTCGGGTAGTGGAGCCCCACATCAGCCCCACATCGGGTGTCAGAGCCCCACATCGGGTGTCGGAGCCCGGCACTGGGTGCCAGAGCCCCACGTCAACCCCATATTGGGCATCGGGGGCCTGCTTTGGGCATTGGACCCCATGCTGGGTATCACAGCCCCATATCAGCCCCGTATCCGTCACCCGGTATTGGAGCCCCATATCAGCCCCGTACCCGTCACCGAGTATCGGAGCCCCACGTTGCGTATTGGAGCCCCATATCAGCCCCATGTCCATCACCGGGTATCGGAGCCCCATGTCGGGTGTCACAGATCAGGCATCTCTGCCCCACATCGGGTACCGCTGGCCCCGCATTGGGCATCGCCGCCCGTTTGGGGCATGGCATTGCCCCCGCCACCATCCGCTCCCCAGCTTGGATTTCTGCTGGACCCGCTTGGGTTTGCACCAATGGAACAAAAAGGTTCCCCCGGCTCCTTGATCCCATTTCCCAGCCCGGGGAGGGGACATTGCCTCCACCCTCCCTGGGAGCAGGATGGGGCCATGTTTAAAAAAAAGCCTTTTATGTTTGTTTGTTTTCATTTAAAAAAAAAAAACAAAACAAAAAAAAACGCTGGGGTGCATTTTTGCCTGGGGGCTGAGCGGGGAGGAGGGGACGAGACAGGTTTCTTCATCTCGGGGGGCCAAAATTCCCACTGCTGGTCCCTGGTGTTCAGGTTTAGATGTTCAGGTTTAGCCCCAGTCATTTTCGGGAGGCAAAAGCTCTCTTCCTCCTCCTCCTCCTCCTCCTCTTCCTCTCTTCTTGCTGCAGCCCAGTCCAGACAATGCTGTCATTGCCAAAGCAGGAGAGGGGGGGATAAAAAAAAAAATAAAAGCCTTGCTGAGAAGGAGATTAACCCCTTCGAGGGGTGGTGGTGGCTCCGCGGGGCTGGACTCTGGCTCGGGGCTGGGAGAAAAGCCCTCAGGGGAGAAAATCACGCTTTCCCCAGATGCCAGCCCCAGGGTGGTGGTGGCCAGGGCTGGTGGGGAAGGGTGCCCAAACACCTTCACCCCAGCCACCCCCTCCTGGCAGCCTGGCTGAGCCCCGCGTCCCCAGGGTAGATAGAGGTGGGGGCAGCCCGTGCCTCAGTTTCCCCATTGCCCCACTGAGGCTGTGGAGGGGATGAGCCAGCCCGGAGCCATCATCTCCCTGGCTGCTGTCAGCGCGGCCACACAGTGGCGTGCCCAGCCCCATCGGGACAAGGTTGGGCCAGGAGCCCCTCACCGTGGCGTCGCACGCCGGTGTGTCTGAGGAAACTGGGCTGGATTCATTTTTGTGCCATTTATAGGTGGGAAAGATGAGAAAAAAATAATAAAAAAGAAGAAAAAAAACCCACCATGCTCAGGTCGTACCCTGCACAGCCCCGGCCCAGCACCGGTGGCCCCTAAGGGTGCATCATCCCTGTCCCTGTCCCCGTCTCCCAGCCACGTGGGTGTCCTGGCACGGGCACTGGGGGACTGGGAAAAATAATCCCCTGCCCAAAGAGGTGACAGCGTTCAATGGCAGCGATGTGCTCAGGGTCCCATGGCCGGGACCCTTGTGCTGAGCACAGGTGCAAAGGGACCTTATTTTGGTGGCAGGTGGCTTTTTGGCACCCCTTGGCCTCCCTTGGGAAGGATTCGGACAGTGAAGCCTGGTGGCAGTCCCCAAGCTGGCGGCGTCCCCAAGCTAGCTTCATTCCTGTTGCCTCTCTTCCAGTGTGCTCGGCGTCCCTGGGTGACCTTGGCATGTCCTTGTCCCCGTTGTCCTCGTCCCCATCCTCCTCCTGCCTGGCATCGCGGGGGGCTGAGGGCATCACAACCTGCCCCCTCGTTAGCGGGGACCCTCCGCTCGCCCTGCCTGGGGTGGCTGAGGGAAGGTGGCGCTGGGACGTGGCCCTGCCCTCCAGCAATGGCATTCTCCGGGGACTCACAGCTGTGAGCCAGGGCGCTGCCACAAGTGGCACATGAAGTGGCATCCTCAAAGCCCTTCTTTGCTGACTCATGAGGAAATTGAGGCTTTCATGGTCCCCGAAAAACAACACTGGGCTGGTCCCATGCCCCCTCGGTGCAAACCCTGTCCCCAGAGGTACCACCAAGCTGG